CCCCTTCGGCTACCGCCAAGGCGGCGTACGCTGCTTCCTCTACTCGTGACCTCCCTCCAAAGACTTCGTCCACAATGAACATTGGAAGGGTACCTCTTGGGTATGTTGCCGACGGAAGGAACTCACGAGCCCTTCTTACTTTCACTGTTCCTATAATTCTTTCAAACCCATTCAGACTTGCATCCCAGCTCCGAGTATCGAATGCGGACTCCGCAAGCCATAATATCCTCGAAAGAGATCGATCTATTCCTAAGACTAAGTTTATTATGATGGCCTGCAAATATTCTAACGAGATATATAGGGTAACCCTTTTTAGTAAGTTTCTACCGCAGAACTTTCGCATCTAATCCATCCAGACTTAATCCAAACGAGGGTATGTTCCCCCATAGACTTCCCCCAACAATATCCCGTTTCCTCATTTTCCTCATGACGAGTAGGTATGTTCATCATTAGACCGCTCCTCATTCGTACGGGTTTTCCGATCGTGACTTGATACCGAGCAGAAGCCATCTTGTTTTCGTTGATATACTCCACCTATTTGTTACACAACAGAATCCAGTCCACCTTCCCTTTATTTAGCTGACAGCTTCTTTAGTCAAGTTCAAGATCAACCAGTCACCCCTTTTGTTTTGTCACTTGATTTAACCCTCTTGATCTTTATATAATCTTCTTATACAATAGGTAGGATACCAGCTCACAAATCTCTCTTTGACATAACAGAAACATCACAATCGAGATACACAACCTCTTATGAGACGATGCAGATTGAGAGACAACAGGAGGGTCAAGAACGTGTGGTATCGGGTGGGGCCCTTGCTGGGGAGATTGGGGAAGGACAGTCAATTGTCGTTCTTGAGCCGAAGAGGTAGTTGGTGGATAAGGATCAAGGTGCGGGCGGCTAGGCGGCTCGAAGCGTGGAGGAGACGCGCCATAACGCCTTGCGTACCTATATGAATAATAAGTCATTTTTCCAGGGCTTGGAGTATGCTCACGCCAGTCTTCTTGATGCCTCCTTGTCCTAAGTCCTTCCTCCCTCTCCTCTAGTTCCCCATCTTCCTCCTTCCAATCCTTCCATTCTTTGGTCAAATCTATAGGCCGATCAGATGCCTTCCCTGGTCTGTCGCCCCTTCCTCTACCAGCATAGGTCCCATGGCCTTTAGGAGCTATATTGTTGGCCTTAAGCACGGGCAGGGCGTTTTATTATTAGTTAACCTGTGATTTACGTGCCAGCTTTGTCTGGAGCAACCTCTCGTCACCGGCTATCCTTATTCTTTGTTCTGTTTATTTCCCCAAGTTATCGTATTTGGCTTCAAATCTTAGTCAAAGCCAATCTTAAAAGTTGTCGTTCTGCCAAAGGTCATCGACTTGCCTTACCCGAGTTCGCTCACTAAGGACCTCGTCTATGAGCGAGATTCCCCGACAACGGTGTCATCTGTCACGCGCGGCGGTCCTACACTCAGACGCAAAACAATTCTTGTGTAGGACCTCACGGTCGTATCACGCTGGAGTATTTTGTCACCTTAGTGAAACACCACTCCGACCGTGCGCGCGTGCTATACCTCTCGCGAATTCCTACGACAGGTTAGAGATCCTGCGAGGTACAACTTACCTCTACCTGCGGGAGCTGTCACCATCCCTTAGGTGGGCGTATCCCTGCTGAGCTATTGACCCACGTGCGAAGGCTTTTACATGCAATCGTAGAGGTAGGCCAGCCGATAGTGTTTTTCTCGATCGCCATAGCATAGGCATACGTGCGGTAGAATGCCTTTAGACTGACCCGTGTATCGTGCCCAGAGGCACTAACTTCCTCGGACCGATTATCTTACGAGGTCGACTTTTCAGATAAATCTTCCACGCTTGGCTAATTAGGATAAGGATTTAATGGCCCTTTGTTGACCCTATGAGACAAGACAGAGTCTAAGCCCCTTTTTGTAATCTTTCGTTCTCTCCAGATCTCAAATGGACTTCTAGACAATAACTTTCTAAGCTCAGGCCAGAGTATGACCTTATTCACGGATGTATATATAAGTATATATATAAACCAGGGGAGCTGAATGAGCTGTGGACCTCACTTTCACGATTGTTGTGCTCTGTGTCCGAAATTCAATATCCCAGATGATCTCAAAATTCAGAGAAGACAGTTCAATGACCAATATCTGTGCAGATGCAAGGAAAACACGTACACACATACAGATGCAGATACAGAATGCGCTACAAGCGTCAACCTTTAACCAATTCATAGCAAGTCTCTCATGCCCACAAACCTTGAAAACAACATTCCTTCCTACTCTTGACTCCTTTTACCCAGGCCTTCACCCTTTCAAAGACCTTCGAGTGTGATTTGGACAATTCAGGCATAGATTCAGGGGAAAGATTTATCTGTTTCCTTCTTTAGGTCTTGTCTTAGGTGTGAGTGTCAAGCCATGTGGAGGTTGAGTCAGAGTTCAACCGACCCGTTATCCAATGATAACAAAATTTGCAGTTCCTTACGGTCTTTTTCCGTAGCCTTTCCCAAAGAGTGATGAACCTGTAGACACAGCACAGTCCGAAAGAATCTTAACGTCTTCTCTCTGATGTTGGGATCTAGAAGATTTCTTCTAGACTTGTGACCCAGAATTCGATGCTCATCGTCGACCTAGTGCCTAACTTCTATCCTCATCTAACCGTCAGTCCGCTGCCCGGTCGGTCTAGGCGACGAACAGAGTTCATTCCCAGTCTCTTCGTCCCAACGGTTCTACTTAGTTTTCCCTCTTCAAAGGTCAATTACAAGCCTCATGTCTTTAGTAATCACAAGCAATATCATCCCTTCAATTGAGAGAGGAATCACATGATAGAGATCAAATCAGAATTTCCAAGCTAATAAGCCTCTCAAGGTCAAGATCTCACTTATCCTCTCCTTACTAGAATCATATGTTAGCGAGTTAGCAGTGGATTCAATCAATTATATGGAAGCAAATATCCGTTGGTAGATCGATCAGGATATACTCACCCTTTTGTTAGTATCTGCTTTTGAAAGTACATGGTGGTAAGGCGGGCTTCTCGGAGCCTCGCTTCTCTTACCACACTAATCATTAATACTATAATGGTAAGACAGGCTTCTCAGAGTCTCTCTCCTCTTACCACACTATTAGTTATTATTGTGGTGATAAGGCAGGCTTCTCGGATCCTCGCTCACCATTACCACCTAGTACACATTATTATTACGTTGATAAGGCAGGCTTCTCGGAGCCTTGCTTACTCTTATCACCTAGTATATATTATTATTATGGTGATAAGGCATGCCTCCCGGAGCCTCTCTCACTCTTATCACTTAGTATATATTATTATGGTGATAAGGCAGGCTGCTCGGAGCCTCGCTCACTCTTATCACCTTTAATATATATTATTATGGTGATAAGGCAGGCTTCTCGGAGCCTCGCTCACTCTTATCACCTAGTTCATATTATTATGGTGATAAGGCAGGCTTCTTGGAGCCTCGCTCACTCTTATCACCTAGCTACGTAGCACCGTGTTTGCGTTCGGAGGCGAACGCGAACATGTTCGCCTGAACGTGAACAAGCGCTAAAAACTCTCCGAACACGAACATAAAAAATATTTGAAAAAAACAAAACAAAAAACGATTCTCAGAAAACTCTCAAACAAATATATGTTCTGTAAAATAAAAATACAAGCAACTTTTGCCGTGGAGTCATGTTCAAATTCATAGCCAATCATGAGTTAAAAATTAAAAACCGAATTTTTATTATTATTATTATTATTATTATTTTTACGAAAACAAATTATGTTCGCCCAAACATGTTCGCGAGCTGTTCGCGCGAACGCGCGAACATGAAGCGGCGCGAACACGTTCGCCGTGCTATGCAGTCACCTAGTATATATTATTATTATTATGGTGATAAGGCAGGCGTCTGGGAGCCTCACTCTCTCTTATCACCTAGTACATATTATTATTATGGTAATAAGGCAGGCTTCTTGGAGTCATGCTCACTCTTATCACCTAGTATATATTATTATTATTATGGTGATAAGATAGGCTTCTAGGATCCTCGCTCACTCTTATCACCTAGTACATATTATTATCATGATGATAAGGCAGACTTCTCGGAGTCTCGCTCATTCTTATCACCTAGTATATATTATTATGGTGATAAGGCACGCTTCTGGGAGCCTCGGTCACTCTTATCACCTAGTTATTATTATTGTGGTGATAAGGCAGGCTTCTCGGAGTCTCGCTCACTCTTATCAATTAGTACATATTATTATGGTGATAAGGCAGGCTTCTGGAAGACTCTCTTACTCTTATCACCTAGTACATATTTTTATTATGGTGATAAAGCAGGTTTCTCGGAGCCTCGCTCACTCTTATTACCTAATATATATTATTATGGTGATAAGGCGGGCTTCTGGGAACCTCACTCACTCTTATCACCTAGTTATTATTATTGTGGTGATAAGGCACACTTCTCGGAGCCTCGCTCACTCTTATCACCTAGTACATATTATTATGGTAACAAGGCAGGCTTCTGGGAGCCTCACTCACTCTTATCACCTAGTACATATTATTATTATGGTGATAAAGTAGGCTTCTCGGAACCTCGCTCACTCTTATCACCTAGTATATATTATTATGGTGATAAGTCAGGCTTAAGGGAGCCTCGCTCACTCTTATCACCTAGTTATTATTATTGTGGTGATAAGGCAGGCTTCAGGGAGCCTCGCTCACTCTTATCACCTAGTTATTATTATTGTGGTGCTAAGGCAGACTTCTTGTAGCCTCGCTCACTCTTATCACCTAGTAAATATTACTATGGTGATAAGGCAGGCTTTTGGAGCCTCGCTCACTCTTATCACCTAGTACATATTATTATTATGGTGATAAGGCAGGCTTCTCGGAGCCTCGCTCACCCTTATCACCATAATAATATATACTAGGTGATAAGAGTGAGCAAGGCTCCGAAAAGTCTGCCTTATCACCATAATAATAATATGTACGAGGTGATAAGAGTGAGAGGGGCTCCTAGAAACCTGTCTTATCACCATAATAATATGTACTAGGCGATAAGAGTGAGTGAGACCCTGAGAAACATGACTTATCACCACAATAAGAATAACTAGGTGATAAAGGTGAGCGAGGCGCCGAGAAGCCTGCCTTATCACCACAATAATAATAACTAGGTGATAAGAGTGAGCGAGGCGCCGAGAAGCCTGCCTTATCACCACAATAATAATAAATAGGTGATAAGAGTGAGCGAGGCGCCCTGAAACCTGCCTTAGCACCATAATAATACATACTAGGTGATAAGAGTGAGCGAGGCTCCGACAAGCCTGCCTTATCACCATAATAATAATATGTACTAGGTGATAAGAGTGAGCGAGGCTCCCAGAAGTCTGCGTTATCACCATAATAATATGTACTAGGTGATAAGAGTGAGCGAGGCTCCAAGAAGT